GCTAAACCTCCAGCCCCTATGACATAACTTTTTTTTTTTTTTGTTATGTCTATGACATAACTTTTGCCATTGAAAACATACAGTTCAGGGCTGGGGATTTAGCTCAGCAGCATAAGTGCCTGCCTTGCAAGTGGCACAGTTGTGAGTTCAATCCCTGCTACCAAAAAAAGAAAGAAAGAAAGAAAGAAAGAAAGAAGAAAGAAAGAAAACATACAGTTCAGCTGGGTGTGGTGTTGCACACCTGTGATCCTAGCACTCAGGAGGCTGAGGCTGAAAGATCCCTGCAAATTTGAGACCAGCGTGGGGCAGCTTAATGAGTTCAAGACCAGCCTGAACTACATAGTGCGACCATGTCACGAAAAGCCAAGAAGAAAGAGAAGGAAGAAAGGAAGAAGAAAAAGAGGAAGAGGAAAAGAAAGAAAAACATATAATTCAGTTGCACTAAGTACGTTTGCGCTGTGTAACATGCATCATCAATATTCATCTCCAGCACTTTTGCATCATCTCAAACAGAAATTCTGTACTGACTTAGTGGTAAATTCCCACATCCTCTTGCCCTCTGGCAGCCAGCATTCTTTCTAGGCAATCTGTGTTATCTTAGGAGGTGGGGGTGCTGGGGATCAAACCCAGGACCTCACACATGCTAAGCAATGTTCTACCACTCAACTATACCCTCAGGCCTACTATTCTCTCTCTATAAATTTTAATGTTCTTGTACCTTGTATAAGTAATATTTCATAATGTATGTCTTTTTTTTGGTCTAGCTTCTTTCACCTAGTATAATATCTTCTTTTTTTTTTTTTTTTTTTTTTTTTTGTCTTTTTCCTTTTTATCGGTACCAGGGATCGAACTCACAACTGCCTGCTTTCAAGGCAGGTGCTTATGCCGCTGAACTAAACCCCCAGCCCCTAATATCTTCAATGTTCACTCATCATATGTCCGTGCATCAGGACCTTATTATTATAATCATTTGTTTTGTTTATCCATCCCACCTCTGTTTTGTTTTGTTTTGCTCAGTACTGGAGATTGAACCCAGGGCCTCCACATGCTAAGTAAATATAGTACCATTTGTGCTACATTCTCAACCCTTTGTTTACTTTTTCATTTTTGAGACAGGGTCTTGCTCAATTGCCCAGGCTGGGCTTTAACTTTTGATCCTTCTGCCTCAGCCTTTCAGAATGCTGGGATTACAGGTGTGCATCACTGTGCTCAGCTAACTCTTGAGGCACTGATGTACTGTCTTTTGCAGTGGCTGTACAGACTTGCATTACTACCAACAATGAATGTGGATTTTAATTTAATTTCTCCATATCACCAGCTCTGATTATTTTCTGATTTTTGAGGTGTGTGGCTAGGGATTAAATCCAGAGCTAGACAAATCCTCTACCACTGAGTTACACTCCCAATCTTCAGATTTTCTTTTTGGAGGGATGAAGTAGATACTTGGGATTGAACCCCTTTTTATCTTTTTTTTTTTGTCTTTTTCCTTTTTGTCAGTACCAGGGATCGAACTCACGACTGCCTGCTTGCAAGGCAGGCGCTTATGCTGCTGAGCTAAATCCCCAGCCCCCCTGTTTATCTTTTTGAGACCAAGTCTTACTAATTTGCTCAAACTGGCCTTGAACTCATAATCCTCCTGTCTCAGCCTTCCAAGTAGCTGGGATTCATGCGTGTGGTCCACAGTCTGATCTTTAAATATATTTGGTCTCCCCTCTGCCTTTTTGATACCAGGGATTAAGCCCATAACCCCATGCTTGCTGGGCAGGTGCTGTATTGCTAAATCAATCTCCTTGCCCAATGCCAGCTTCCTTGTTTGTTCATCTGTTGATGGACATTGTCTTGGTTGCTTTCTTGTTGCCAGGACAAAGTACCTCACACCCACAAGTTAAAGAAGGAAAGGTTTATTTTAGCTCACAGTTTGTAGAGGTTTAAGTCCATATTTGACTGGCTTCAAGGCAGAGTAACATGGCAGGGGCACGGCAGAGGAGAAACAGTCATGGTAGGGCAGGCAGGCAACTGCAAAACAAGCAGCAGCCTCCCTCTCCGTTTTCCTCCATTCAGGGTACACATCCGTCCAGGTACACACAGGTACCTATCCATTGGTGCACATCCACATCCAGGGTGGAGCTTCCGTTATCCACACTCAGAATTATGCTAAACCAATGAGTGGACTAATCCAGTACCACACACCCTTAATTATCACGTGCCCTAGATTCAGCAGTCTCCAAAAACCCCACCTATGCACTCAAGAAGCTTTGAGAGACAATGAGATACAAACTCTAACAGACATGGATGGTGTTTCCATGATTAAGCTATTATAAATTGTGCTGTTTATAGACATGGGCATGTGTGTATTCCTATAATATGAGATTTTAATTCTTTTGGGAAGATACCCAGGAGGGAAATAGCTAGGTCAAAGGAAATTACTATTTTTAGGAGTTTTTGTTTGTTTTTGGTTTTTTGAGAAAGGGTTTCACTATAAAGTTCTTGCTGGCCTTGAACTCACTTTGTAGCCCAGGCTGGCCTCAAATAGGTGCAAGTTTGCCTGAGATACACAGTGAGATCTTATCTCAAAAAATAAGGAAAGGGCTGGGGATTTAGCTCAGTGGCATAAGCACCTGCCTGGCAAGTGCAAGATCCTGAGTTCAATCTCTAGTACAAAAAAAAAAAAAAAAAAAAAGAAGGAGAAGAAAATTCAGTGTTGAATTCTGCTATATAATCTCCTAACAAAACAGTAAACCTTGGAAAGTCAGGAACTGTTTCTACTCCATTTGCTACTATGTTGCATACCTTAATACATTTATTGCACAGTGCACATGTTATTGGGCTAAAAGAATTGTAGTTTTTTTTAATTTTTAAAGAAAAAACAAAATTTCAAAACATAATAGGAGGGTAATGATGGATGGTTAGTATGTATTCTTATCTTTAAATTAATCACTCAATGCACATGATATTAGCATTTAATAGTCCAAACAATATTAGCACAAACCTTTCTTTATAACTATCCTATCATATTCCTTTAGAAGTTTCTTCCCATTTTATACTATTTAGTTTCAGCTTCTCACATTAGGGAAACAATACTATGTTTACACATTTGCATCTAGTCTATTTCACTTATGAGTATGGTCTCAAAGTTTCATCCATTTACCTATAAAAGTCTCCAAGTTACCTTTGTTTATGACTAAGTAGTATTCCATTATATAAAAGGGCCACTTTTTTTTTTATTCATTCCTCAGTTGATGGGCATTTATATTGTTCCCAAGATCTAGCTATTACAAATTGTGCTGCTAGAAACGTGGGGGTATATCCTTGGGGTACCATGTTTTTAATTTTTCTGGGAAAATATCCAGAAGGGAAATAGCTGGGTCAAATGGTATATCCAATCCTAATTTTTTGAGAAATCTCCACACTGATTTCCACAGTGGTTATAATAGTTTACACTCCCACCAACAATGGAGAAGAGTTCCTTTTTCCCCACAGCCCCTCCAGCATTCGTTATTGGTTGATTTCTTGATAATAGCGATCGAAAGACTCTTAATTGCTAAACAGCATTTTTTTTTTGTACTGGGAATCGCACTCAGGATCTTGTACTTGCCAGGCAACTACACCACTAAGCTATATCCCCAGGCAATACTGCATATTCTCAAATATAATTGCACTTATGAGAATACATTCTTAGGTGAATTTCTTAAAATTTTAGCTCTTTGTTTTTACTACGTATCAAACTGAAGGGCACTCTACTACTGAGCTATATCCCTAGTCCTTTGTTTTTAGTTTTGAGACATGGTCTTTTGCTAAATTATATCCTCATGCCTCAGCCTTTTGAATAGCTGGGATTACAGGCATGTATCATCCCACTAGCTTGAAGATTTTCCTGTGTGTGTGGTACAAGGGATCGAGTTCAAGACCTCATGCTTACCAGGCAAGCACTTGAACCACTGAGCTAAATCTCCGACCCTTAGCTTGAAGACTTTGATGGCTTCTTTTTTATTTTTTGAGACAGGGTCTCACTGTAGTTCAGGCTTGCCTTCAATTTTCAGTAATCCTCCTGCCTCAGCCCCTTAAGTATTGGGATTATGATGGGCACCATCATGCCTGGCTTGATAGCTATTGCAGAGTCAACATTAGAACACTATTAACTGGTGCTTGGAACTGTCCCTCCACTTTTTACCTGGCTTTTAAAGACAAAACAAAACAAAACAAAACAAAACAAAACAAAACACTTTAGGGTTGGTGGTACGGCTGCTCAGTGACAAAACACTTGTCTGGAATGTTCAAGATCACAGGTTCAATCCCTCGGACCACCAAAACAAAAGAGACTCTCAGAAAATTCACTTATTTACTTAGAGATAAGGTCTTGGTGTAGTCTAGGCTGGCCTTGAACTTGCTATGTAACAGCCCAGGCTGACCTTGAACTCACAGGGATCCTCCTACCTCGGCCTCCCAAGTGCTGGCATAAAGACATGTGCAGCCACACTCAGCTTTTTAACAAATTTTAGAAAAAACATCTGCTCACAGTTTTAGAAAGATACAAAACCCAGGTGTGGTGGTATACACCTATAATTTCAGCACTTTGGGATGTAAGACAGTAAGTTTAATCTTCAAACTCCAGGATCAGCAAGAACCAATTCTTACTAGGAGCCCCCCTCCCTTTTGTCTTTTTTGAGACAGGGTCTTGCTACGCAATTCAGACCTGGAGCTCACTGTGAAGCCCAGGCTGGTCTCCTAACAATCCTCCCACCTCAGCCGCCCCCAGAGCAGGGATTACACGCCCAGCTCGACCCCCTCACTTCCAAATGATACTGAAACAATTTAAGATACTCTCTAAATTACTGTAGCATTCCCGTACAGAATAACCTCAGAAAGCCTCCTCTCTCCCTTCATGTATCTAAAAACTCCTACTGTACTTTCAACGTAAAAACTACCCTAAAGCTATTGTACCTCTGGTACACAAGCACTGTACTGCTGAAAGCCATAACCACTACTTTTTACATAACACAAAGGGCGCCAGGACCAACGATCACTAGCTGCCCAGAAACCAAAAAATTATGCTTCCGAAATCTCTTGATGTCGATTCCGCACGCAGAGCAAACGAGTTGCCCTACGTGTGCCACTCACGACAGAAGCCCTTTTTGCTGAAATGGCAGGAAAAACAGAGTAGCACTGTTGTTTAATCCATCTTTTGGTAAAGGTGAAAACAAAAACCCTAAGGAATTTCCGACCTTATATTCCTAAAGTTAAAGGGGAAATGTCAGAATCTTCTGGATCAGAGAATCTCTGTAAAAATGAGTTCATTATTGTCTTTTTTATTGGAATTTAAAAGTAAAGGAAAAACGTGAACAATATGCAAATATGAGCAGTGATTGCTGGGTAAATGCAGCCAACAGGAGATGGGGGCGTGGCTGCCGAGCGATTGCAAGCTGCTGCCGGTTGCTCCCTCCCTCCTGGCAGTCAACGGGGAAAACGGCTTTCCTCGGGTGTGAATACCTAATTGAAGAAGACAGTAATCTCAAAGTATCAGCATTACAAATGAGAAATTTATGCCATTGGTAGCCATCCATACTGGACCAGCCCGGCAGGCGTGCACAGAAAGCGTCAATAGTAAGAGGACAAAAACAACCTGGCCACTTACGTGACATCCAGAAATGATAGTGTCACGCTGTGTTGCTCAGATGGTGGACTGGTACATGTCGCACTTCTGGGTTTTCCCATCTCTTTTTAAGACAGGGGGTCACTATATTGTTTAGGCTGGCCTTGAATTTAATATGTAGCCCAGACTGGCCTTGGATTTGCAGTGATCTTCCTGCCTCAGCCTCTAGGGTGCTGGGATTATAGGTTTGTGCCACCACTGCCAGCTTTATATGCTGCATTTTGAAGGAGTGAATTAGACATTAACAAAAAAAAATTGGTAATTTTACAGTAAGGTAAAGCATGATATTAGTTTGAAAAAGCAATACCTGACTTTTCTGATTGAATTAGATTTCTGTCAACCTAGATTTTTTTAATATTGGGGGGTACAGCGGTGTTGAGACAGGGTTTCCCTATGTAGGTCACACTGACCTTGAACTCACATGTTATAACCCAGGCTGGCCTCAAACTCAGAGCTATCTTCCTGCCTCAGCCTCCCAAATGCTGGGATTGCAGGTGCAAGCCACCACACCTAACTCTGCAGGTATTTTTAAATGAGTGGCAAAATGGTGTTAAATATTGTGCAGCATGGTATCATGGATATCACACAGGTGTGCAACACCAGTGTAAAGACCCAGTGCTATATATTTTATGTAACAATATATTTTTTTGAGACAGGGTCTCAGGATATGTATTTTTTCTTTTCTTTTTTTTTTTTTTTTTTTGGAAACAAGGTCTCCCCATGCAGTTCAGGCTGGCCTGGAACTCACTTTGTAGCTCAGGGTGGTCTCAAACTCAAAATGATCCTCCTGCCTCAGCCTCCCCAGTGCTGGGATTTCATGCACGCACCACCTCGCACCACGTCTCACATTATAATGTAGGGTGACCTTGAACTCAGAGATCCTCTAGCCTCACCCTCCCAAGTGTTGGGATTAAAAGCATTTGCTACCACGCCCAGCCTAAATAAACAGTCTTACACTGTTACAGGAAGAGGGTAGTAGAAACCAGCAAAAAACTGAGATGGGTGCTACCAAGTATCGGCTGGGGACTCCTATAATCTACCATTTTTTTTTTTTGGTACTGGGGATCGAACTCACAACTGTGAGCTTGCAAGGCACTTATGCCGCTGAGCTAAATCCCCAGCCTCTACCATGTTCTCTTTTAAAAACTAATCGTTTCATTTCTCTGCTTGACTCTTTAATGCCTTCCCATCATACACTGCATAAAAATCCCAGATCTTCACCAGCATTTAGGATCTAGCTGAAGTGAACCCTGCTCTACTTCAACTTCATCACCTCTCCTTGTTTCCTATTAAGTTCTAGGACCGAGGCTGGCTCAGTCCTTGTCTAAACTCTTCTGACTCAGTTTTGGCTCAAGACTGTCCATCATCCAGATAAGTAAGCCTGGCTTAGTCTTGTACTTTCTCACTCTCTTTTTGGTACTGGGAATCAAACTCAGGACCTTGGGCTTGCTAGGTAGGTGCTGCACTGAACTAAATCCTCAGTCCTCTTTAATTTTAATTAGTAGGGGGCTGGGGATTTAGCTCAGCGGCATAAGCACCTGCCTTGCAAGCAGGCAGTCGTGAGTTCGATCCCCGGTACCAATAAAAAGGAAAAAGACAAAAATTTTTAAAAATTTTTTTAATTAGTATATGTTTGCAGTACATAATGATTACATGCATTTTGGAATTGGCAAATGTATACAACACATCTTAATTCTTGTCCTTCCTGTCCTGGTGCTCATTTGTGTCTTTGCTGCAGCTTGTAAACACTCAGGACAAGGATGTCTGTTTTGTCACCAGTATGTACCCAGTACACAGCAAAAGGCCCGGCATACAGTAAGACAATAAAATATTTGTTAGGTGACTATACATTCAAACTGGGTCAGTAAGAGATACACAGTAGGCCAGCCAGATATAGTGGTGCATGCCTTAACTCCAGCCCTCGGTAGATTTAGGCAGGATTAGTTTGAATTGGAGGCCAATGAGTTCAAGGCCAGCCAGCACTACATCACAAGCCCTCTTCTAAAAGAAAACAGAAAAAAAAGATGTACAATAGTTCAACAAAACAACAAAACTGATATGGCAAACCCTAAAGTAAATGATGGGAAGTGGCCGGCAGATAAGCCTAGGCAAGACAGTAGGACACTTACAATGATAACAAGGCACTGAATCCAATAGTCTGGATCCAGTGGCAATGAACAGTGGACTGGGAATGTGGTGGGATGAGGATGGGAAGATACAAAGACAAGAGGGGACAGGTTGCTGCACCCATTTAGGCAGCTCCTTTTGATTCCTGCAGGCTACTTTTTGTAGCTTTGGCTGACACACGCCTTTAACATTGTGCGTGGGTCCTTCTCCATTTTACTGAGAATCCCACAGATGTTGAAATCGGCTATTTTTTACTTGTCTGCATCTAAAGCTAGGTAAAAAAACAAATGATCCAGAATAGTCACAAAGTTTTGTCTGTCACTAAATTTTGACGGATGAAATAACTCAAAGTGTCAGAGCGTAATGGTTAAAGAACAGACTCAAATCCTGCAGTTCTCAGTTCAACTTGAGGCTTCGAATGTTTTAGCTAGATTTCTACTAAATTCCTTTACTAAACGTCTCAGCCGGGTGTGGGGTCACATGCCTGTAAGCACAGTGTTTGTACCCCAAAAAACGAGGCCCCAAGATTTTTTTCAAAAACGGGGCAAGGCGTCTTTAAAAAAAAAAAAAGGGCTGAGGATTTAGCTCAGTGGCATATACACCTGCCTTGCAAGCAGGCGATCCCCGGTACCAATTAAAAAAGAAGCGCTTTACGTTAGCTGGTACCCAGCGACAGGGCCTGCGTTGGAGTCTGCAGAGCTGTGCAACCAGTAGGTTACAGGGGTTTTTAAAAGGAAAAACCACGAAGAAGAGAAAAAGGAGGGAGCTTATACAAAAAGGGAGTTAATCTCTGCAAAACGTTTTACAACCAGGGCCAGTTGGTCCCAGGACCGAGTGTTTTACAATTAGTGGTCAGCAAATGTTTTACAATCAAGGGTCAGTTGGGTCAGGGACCAAATTGCTGTTCTGGAAGGGGATAACTCACAAGAAAGGAGAGTTGAAACACAGGTCATAACAGGATAGCGGCGCTTTAATTAGGTTACAACACACAGCACTCGAGAGGCTGAGGTAGGAGGATCGCCTCTAGTTCCAGGCCAGCCTGAGCTCCATAGTTCACTCCAGGTCAGCCTGCAGTACACAGCGAGCTCCGGTCTCAAAAACAAACTTCTTCGAAATAAATGACAGGGGAAGAATGGGGCTGAACACATTTCCTGACCTAGTAGGCCCTCATTTTTATTAACTGCAAACTTACAGGCACAACTTGTCTGTCTTGTCCCCAAGTAGGATACCTATGGGATGTGTACTGCCGCCCCGGGTGATACCCACATCCTGAGGTCACGACAAACCCACCAACCAAAAATGGCGACCTTGAAGCCGTCCGAAGGGCGTCCATTATCAGTCATACTCGCGAAAGACAAACGGCGAAAAGAGAAGAAATGATAGGGCAAGTTTAGAAATGTCAAGATAGAAAATACAGAGCTCGCCCACGCCCCCAGTCACCCACCAGCAGGAGAAAGCGCTAACGCCAGAGCAGAGCTACAGCACAACACAGCAACCACGTGTCGGAGGGCACTCTGCGCCTGCGCAAACCAGGCGCGCGCCCGCCGGCCGGAAGAACCGCGCGTTTCCGGGTTGGAGGCGGGGAGCGGTGCCGGAAAGTAGTCGGGGAGGGCCGCGCAGTCGGACCGGCTGCTGAGACGAAAGCTTCACTGGGGCAGTCTCCGCATATCATGGGGAGATAGACGCTGCTGCCTGTGAGTCTTGGGCCCTGGCAGTTGAGGAAGAAGAGCGGGAGGAGGGAGTCAGGACCCAGACCCACAGTGGGTCAGTGTTTAAAGAACCAGGTTGTGGAGGAGACTGGGCTGTGAGCATTCAGGCTCTTGGGACGGGACTTAAGGGGATCGGGCTCGGAGAAGACGCGGCTGTGGGGACCGGGCTCCGAACGAGACTTAAAGAACGGGGACGGATGTGAGTTCCTCGGCATCTGAGAGAAAGCGGTCTGAGCGAGACAGGATTGTGAGACCCGTACTTTTAGGAGGAGAGGGACGGAACGAAACCGGGTGTGAAGACACGGGCTCCACAGAGGTAAAAGTGGAGTCGTGAGGACTTGGGCTCCTAGAACAGAAGCGGGACAGCCAAGACCCAGGCTCCTAAGGATTCAGAAAGAGGGCAGCGAAGACAGATTCCTGAGAGGCAGAAGCAGGCAGAGAAGACTTGAGTTTAGGAAGGAGCAGAAGCGGGCAGTGAAGACCGGGGCTTCTCTGGTGACGGAATCGGGGCTTTGAGACTCCGAGTTCCTGAGGATACAGGGCTGTGAGGAGCCAGGCTCCTAAAAACGGAAGATCCGAGGGGTCCTAGTGTGAGATCAATCTCCACGAGAAAGAGAAAGTGGAAAAAATAGAAAACAGTTTTTCCAACTGTTTTCACGCTGGGCTACAATTTTTTTCCCTGGTGTTCTCTGTACCCCACTGATAAAGAATGTGTTCTGGAGAAGACTCCTTTGCGCTGCCTCCTTGATAGTTGGCAGACAGGCTTTTCTTGTGTCAGATACTTAATCTAGGAAGCCCACATTCAAGCATCTTCGTTTTTCTGCTTCGTTATTGAGACTCGGATGTGAAGTTGGAAGCAATTTGAACTCAGTTATATACTTGATGAGTGCTTTACACCCCATTTCACTCAGCCCGACTGAGCACAGATTTGTGCTTCTCAGATAGAATGCCAGAGATGGAAGGGGCTGAAAGACCGTCTCTTTTACACTCCTATTTTACATTTAAGGGCAAAAAGGGCTAAAGAGGACTTAGGATCACATGGAGACAATAATTAGTTAGATCATAAGTTTGCAGTACTCTGCTGTTGTAGCAAACAACAGATGCTAGGTTAATATTCCTTGAGTAAATACTTCAAGCATCTTTACCTTCAAAATCAGGAGAGAATTTTTTTTTTTCCTGCTCGTGATGGGATTGAGTCCAGTAGTACTCTACCACTGAGCTATATTCCCAGACCCCTCCGCCCCTTTACAAAATGTTGAGACTGGGGCTGGCTGAATTGTCCAGGTTACTGGGATTTACAGTCTTCCTGCTTCAGACTGTAATCCTTAGGATTCCAGGCCTGTTCTACTGTGCCCTACAGGAGAGACGTTTTGTTTGTTTGTTTTTTGGTACCAAGGATTGAACTCAGGACCTTGCACTCGCCAGTCAGGCACTTATGCCACTGAGCTGAATCCCTGGCCCTAGGTCGGAAATTTTTACAGAATATAATACTTTGAGTCTTGTGTCTATGTGAACATACAGTGAATGTCACTTATCAATGAGGAAACTTTTAAATTATACTCAGCGTTATTAATTAGCTATTTAGAACTCACAAGTAACTTGTGATCTATATTTTTAGCACAAGCATTTGCTAGGGATGGCTGCTTTTAAATAAGGATTATGGAGTTTGGACATGGTGGGGCATGCCTGCCTGTAATCCCACACTCTGGGAAATTGAGGCAAGAAGATCACAAAATCTAGGAAGACATTTGGAAATTTTTTTTTAAACTATACTTGAGATTGAACTGTTTTCACGCTGGGCTACATCTCCCATCTTTTATTTTGAGATAGGGTCTGCTAAGTTGCCTAGGCTGAGCTCAAACATTTGATCCTCTTTCCTCAACCTCACACAGGGATGGGATTATAGGGAATGTGGTACAATGCCCAGCCCAACGAGAAGTTTGTGGAGGAAGCAACTTTTTTTTTCTCTTTTTTTTTGGTATCAGGGATCAAACTCAAGACCATGTGCTTGCAAGGCAGGCGCTTATGCCACTGAGCTAAATCCCCAGCCCTGCCCAGCCCAATCTCAAAACAATTTGTTTTTGTTTTTTGGGAACATGGTCTCACTGTATAGTTTAGGATGGCCTTGAAGTCACTGTGTAGTCCAGGCTGGCCTCAAACTCACAATGATCTTCTACCTTCGCTTCCCTAGCCCTAGGATTACAAGCATGGGCCACCATGCCCTGCTCCAGTCTCAGACTTTCAAAAGTGGGAGAGTGGGGTGGAGCAGGGGATGGAGCTCTTTATGAAGGCCTTAGGTTCAATCTCCTGAAGTACAAAAAAAAAAAGATGATGAGATTTAGACTAGTGACTTCCCTTCTTCAGTAATAGTACTAACTAGTCAAGCATTTTTACATAATATACACAATTATTATAGCCTCACAACTTAGGTATTATTAGTTCCATTGTACAGTTAAATAGGTTCAGAGAAGTTAAGTACTTTGCCTGAAAACACATAGCACCTAGTGACCCAACTTCAGTTCTGTGTGCCTCTAAAATTTTCTGCTTTTTAAAATATATTCCTCTCTTGGGGCTGGGCATTTAGCTCAGCGGCATAAGTGCCTGCCTTGCAAGCAGGCAGTTGTGAGTTCGATCCCCGGTACCGATAAAAAGGAAAAAGCAAAAAAAAAAAAAAAAAAATTTATATATATATATATATTTTGCTGATGGGCAAACATGGAGAGGAATATATATATGTCAGGTACTGTAATTTAATGGACTAGTTGCATAGTGTATTTGAGGAGAACTAAATTTTTGTTTTCATAGAATCATAGATATTCAAGATAGAAAAAAAAGCAACAGTAGGTTTCAGTAGGGAAAAAAAAGCACCAGTACAGTATTTAGGAGGTCAGGAAAGAGCAATTTGAAGAACAAGTACTTAAATTAGGTTAACTTTTCAATTAATTGTTAGCATGAACTAGATAGTTGAGACACTTAGGCTATTTTTTTCCCAGTGGCTTAGCTTACCTGCAAATCCCTGGGTACAAGTGACCAGAATTTATACTATATTATGATAGAAAGCATGCCTTTGTCACTATTTCAGTGATGGTAGGTGATTCACCCCACCACACACAAGTTTAAACTCATGAGCACTCCACCGCAAACTCCCCTTTTTAATTTTTTACTTAGAGATAGGGCCTTGGTTTAGTCTGTGCTTAAACTGGAGATCCTCCAGCCTCAGCCTCCCAGAGTACTGAGATTATAGGTGTGCATTGTGCCTTGCACTACTGTGCTTGGCTTTTAAAAAAAATTTTAAAATAGGGACTCACCAAGTTGCCCACATTGACTCAAATTTGAGATCTTCCAGCCCCAGTGTCCCAGAATGATTCCAAGTATGTGTCACCACATCCAATTGAAGTACACTTTATTAAAACTCCCATTATTTTCATTTAAAGAAATCAAGGCATAAAGAGATTAGATAACTTGCTTAAGGATCTGTAACTACATTTGATCTTAGCCAAAAGGCTAAGAAGTGATAAAGGACCTATAAATACTGTACTACTGGTGCTTTTTTTTTTCCTACTGAAACCTACTGTTGCTTTTTTTTTCTATCTTGAATATCTATGATTCTGTGAAAACAAAAATTTAGTTCTCCTCAAATACACTATGTAACTAGTCCATTAAATTACAGTACCTGACATAAAGAGGAATCTGAAGGGGAGGAGAGTGCTTTTGTTCAGTGATATGCTTTTTTTTTTTTTTTTTTTTTTGTCTTTTTCCTTTTTACCGGTACCGGGGATTGAACTCACGACTGCCTGCTTTCAAGGCAGGCACTTATGCCTGCTGAGCTAAACCCCCAGCCCCTCAGTGATATGCTTTATAGAAGTATTACTTCTATTTTGCTGATGGGCAAACATGGAAAGGAATATATATATATATATATATATATATATATATATTTTTTTTTTTTTTTTTTTTTTTGCTTTTTCCTTTTTATCGGTACCGGGGATCAAACTCACAACTGCCTGCTTGCAAGGCAGGTGCTTATGCCGCTGAGCTAAATGCCCAGCCCCAAGAGAGGAATATATTTTAAAAAGCAGAAAATTTTAGAGGCACACAGAATATAACTATAACTAAATGACAACACGTATTTGACCTCGAACACTGTCACCAGTTTTGTTGTCTGTCTTTCTGTTTTGAGACAGTCTTACTGTGTTTCAGGCTGGCCTTGAACTCACTGTGTACAGCAGCCTGGCCTCAGACTTTCATCTTTAGCCTTCGTGGTGCTGGGCTAGTAGGGTGCACTACCATGCCTGGCTTTTCGTTTTGTGTTTTTGAGACAGTCTGGTATGTAGTTCAAACTAGACTTGAACTCCCTTTTACTTTTAGAGCTGGTCTCAAACTTTCAACACCCCTGCCTCAGCCTTCACAGTACTGAGATTACAGGTGTGGACCACACTACACCTGACTCCAGATGGATGTTGAGGGGAGGTTTAACACAAAGTCTGACTGTATAGTTCAGGCTGACCTTGAACTTACTATGTATCCCAGACTGGCCCTGAACTCCTGACAATTCTTGTGTCTCAGCCTCTCAACTGCTGGAATAACAGGCATGTCCCTCTATGCCTGCCATAGAGTCCATATCTTGCTTACTGTACTATGCTGCCTTTCTGTTAAGTCGGAACCACTACAAGTGGATCAGCCTAACCAAAATAAGCATTTTTTTCGAAGTAGGAAAAAATATACCTTGTTTCTGTTCAAGTCACATAAATAACAGAAAATTGATTTTTAAAAAATCTTTTAGGCTTTGAAATATGAGCTTCTTTAGATGTAGCTGGAACCCAGAGTGGAGAGAAACAGCTAGGTAGAAAATCTAGTCCTTAAGTCAAATAGTCACCACACTAATCTGCCTTTTTTTTTTTTTTTTTTTTGTCTTTTGAGGCAGGGTCTCCTTGTGCAGTTCACATTGGTCTTGGCTCACTTTGTAGGGCAGGCTGATCTCAAAC